GGGGGGGGGGAGAGACTTAGGGACTGTATTTATAGACTGTATTTGTCCATGGTGATGATTGATTAGTATATTGTTAATACTATGATGATGCTGATGATTACTACCAAACAGTTCATAATTACTAGAATGATGATCATCCTGGTGATGATTATAATAATTGTTATTATCATTTTGTACAGTGTAACAGTCATCTCAGGCTGCAGGTGACACGAGTGATACAGCCGAGGCAGCTCCCTCTCAACCTGCAGCCTCAATGTTGGAGAATGAATGTTTTGGTCTTATTATAGCGGCTGGTGGCACAATGACCTGCAGTATTTACTTTTTCTTGCCTGTAGACGGCATACATCAGCACCTCTACGGGTCAAAGCTGCTGCTGTAAATTATTTTGCCTGCAGGTGCAGCAGGTTGGACTGGTTTCAGGGGCTTCACATCAGTGAAACAGTTTGTCCTTGTTTTTCAATCCTTCCAAGCAGTCATTTCTCTCCATTTTAGCCAGATTTTTTTTTTTTTATTCTTATTTTTGATTATTGTAAAAAACTAAAACAGAAGATCAAAGCCAACAGTGTGTTAGTTTTTACTTTAGTTTGCTACCCTGTCTGTGGCACTCAGCCCCAACACCACTGGTTCCTACTGAAGATGTAAATCTTCATGATTCTTTTGAGGGGATGCCAACATGGTTGAGTCGCTGTCACGGGAGTTCGCGGTTAGGACCCAATAGCAAGACCACAGGAGACAGAGTAAGGTGAAACAGACTTTATTTAGCCAGAGTAAGGAAGACAGGAAGGTGTGGAGCCCGTGGTCCAACACCAGAGAGTAGGCAGATCGATGGTGTGAGTCCCGTGGCTCGACACCGGAGGGCTGGTAGCTTGACGGCGTGATGTCCCGTGGCTCGACACCGGAGAGCTGGCAGCTTGACGGCGTGATGTCCCGTGGCTCGACACCGGAGAGCTGGCAGCTTGACGACGTGTGTAGTCCGTTAACACAACAGAAGGCAGAGCGGCGGTGTGTAGTTCGTTAACACCACGGAGGGCAGAGCGGCGGTGTGTAGTCCGTTAACACCACGGAGGGCAGAGCGGCGGTGTGTAGTTCGTTAACACCACGGAGGGCAGAGCGGCGGTGTGTAGTCCGTTAACACCACGGAGGGCAGAGCGGCGGTGTGTAGTCCGTTAACACAAAGGAGGGCACGGGGGATTCCCGGACCGACGGACACCGGAGGCAGGTGCTTGAGGCAAACGCTGCAATGGGGTTGAAGCAGGTGAAAGACCGTATGACCTGACAACCCCAGACTGCAGGACCAGAGTTTATAAAGTGCCAGGGGAAGCGTTAGTGGGACCTGAGTCTGATGTGTCAGCCTGCAGGAGGTAATCGGCTGGAGTGGCTGCAGCTGTGTCATGGGAGGTGTCTGGTCTGACAGGGATCCTGACAGTCGCTTTGGATAAAAGCGTTTGCTAAATAAATGGAATGTAAATGTTAGTGAGTCATGTGTAGTTTTATCTACAAAAAAAAACAACCTATAACAGCTGGGCGCTGTAATCTTTATAAATGGGAGAAAACAGTGCGTTTGTTTGGGACTATTTTCAGCAGTGGATTAATACACATTTGGAGTATTTACATCAGTCGGCTGGTGTATTTGGGACTGATAAACAACAGTGCCATGTTCATTGTAATGAAGGAACATCACACCCATGTGTACCAGTGTGACTCACCCATGTGTTTTTAGTAGCATTGACAATGTGGCACAGAACACTTGCTACTCATTTAAAAGGTTTTAATGACAATAAAAAGATAAATAGACTTTCTGAAGCCCTATCGTTTCACGTCGTGACAAGACCGAAAACATCTTTTCCCTCGAGAAAAGCCGTCAGTGACGTTCTTTGCTCTTCTTTCCATGAAGAAACACTCCAGTTCTGATGTAACTGTTGCTATTATAGCATTTACGCAAACCTCTTCGGGAGTCGCCATTTTTGTTTAGAACAAACAGTCGCCTCAACGTGTCGCCTCGAACACATCTAAGCCCCGCCCTTAGCTGCCATTGGCTCCTCACCGGACCCTGATTGGTCCGTGCTCTGGCTTACCACACACAAACGCTTTACTTGAAACCTGACCAGATGGACTTTTGGGTGATCTCGTGCCATTGTGACAATATGATACCGCGCAAGCTAACATTAGCTGTGCCCCCATCACGTACCATAGAGGAATTCTGTAGTGCATTCATGGTGGAAAAATGACAAAGATGAAGAAAAAAACTTTGGATTTTTAAGTGTGGTGTTGATGGGCACCAAGTTCCCGCAATGCAATGCACAACTAAAATAAAGGAGCTACCGACGGCTGATAAAACATTTGCTGATTGCTAAAACAGCACAGTGTCAACATTGACTTTTATGCTCTATACAGTAGCCTATGATCTTAGTTCGATGTTGGAAACTTGAGATTGCTGCCAAACAACACTACATTAATTTCTTTTCCTCCCTTTTGTCAAAAAAATAAATAAATCACACCCAGAAAACGAACAATAAGCAAATATTCACATCATGAAAATGATGTCGTGGATTTGGCTTCTTCTAGCAGTCAGTCTTGTTTTTCTAAAACAGTTTGAAGGTGTGATGTATTCACAATACCTTGAATCCTGTTTGTGGAACCTGCGTCTTGTCCCAGTTGTCGGGAATAGCGGTGAAATTCTGTTGACCGGGAGGCCGTCTGTGGTCAGAAAGCAAAGTAGGATTAGGATTAGTTTTATTGTGAGGGGGTTTGAATAAGATGTTTCTTAAAAAGGTGGAAAACATAAGTGGTGCCAACACAGCACATTTGAGATGTCGTACCTCACTCTCTTTGTTAGGACATCCGCCGCGGAGACAAACTGGGGCCGTCTTTTCACAACCCTCTTGGTGCCATACTGCTTGTTTGTTTGTATCATGTCTGGGAGAAAAGAAAAGATTAGCATACTGCTTGAATATTCTAAAATGCACAAAAGTGTAAACAGAGAGATCTGTTGCGTAACATTTGTTTACCCTGGAAGCTGAGCGAGTATGACTGTGAACCAGCGGTGAAGTCCACCACATCTTTGTCATTGGACAGAAACCTCCGCTCCAGTGTAGCGCTGTCCATGTCCGCTGCTTTGTGTGCAGCAGCCTGCAACACAAGACGGATGAGTCGGGTTTTTACCTCAAAACATAAAAACAAAATGGTGACCAATGACCAATCAGGAGCGGGTTGGTATCGTGTGCATGCAAAATAGACGATTACCTGCAGAAAAAAACTTTCAAATTAGTGTTTACTGCAGTTAATTCAGTGTAATTGTCAAGTGTTTTGAAGAAAAAAGTTTTGGGAAACTCACCTATTTGCTTTCTTGCTAAGCAACACTTATCTCGTACGCTAACTACAATATAAAGCTAGCGCCGGCAGCTGGTTAGCTTAGCTTAGCATATGCAAAATCTTCAAATCTAACACTCTGCAAGAAAACAAATATGCATATTTTTCTCTTTTAATGCTGTATTTGTTGCTGTCCAAAACTAAATTTATATTTTTTGCATCATTCTCAAGCATTTGGTCTCATCTGGGAAATTTGGAAAAAAATCCCAAATTGAAGATTTCAAAATCTGCCTTAAATTTCAGTGCATGATTGAATTTGACTGAAGTGTGAGGAACAACGTGAATATGCAGTCTTGATCTAGTCTTTTAATCATAACGTTAATGCTGTGTTCACACGCTGCTCTGAATGCGTGTAATCGGTAACTTCCCGTAGTGTTCTTTGTGGAAGTGTAAACGAGGACAGAAGTCAAACTGTTGAGACGGGCTCAGCTTTGAAAGTTGGAGCGGCTTTAGCTGAGGGAGCTCCAGTAGTAAACGCCTTTTAAAGCTTTATTTCTTAATTCAACAGTCCAATATGAGCATGACAAATTCTAATTTATGCAACTGCGGCTCATCTCTTTCCTCAGGGATGCTGCCACACCGCCTGAGCTCTATGTATAAACTGATAACGTGATAATATGATTTCTAGTGTGCAAAAGTTTGAGTTTGCTGCAGTGAAGTGTTGTCACCGCAGCGGCATTTAGGGTTGTGGCACGACTGCAAAATGTCACTGAAATAGAGGTGAATTGACCTTTTTTTCCTTCTTTTTTTTTTTAGCCCAAATCACCTCCGCTAGCTTTCCTTGCGGTGGCATGTTGTCAGTGCACATATCCTCAATGGAACTGTTGGCTGCTGCTGCTGCTGTTTTACATGCTGCTCCTCTGTTTGCTAGACTCACACTGTTATCTATGAGGAACTGTGCCAGTGTTTACATGGTTTTTCTGACGTGGCGTTATTGGATTAACGACCTCGAACTTTGATCAGACTTGCACTGTCATGGTCAGATAATATACGCCTTGATCAGCTGTAAGGTTGAGGAGGCTGGGACGTTCCCTATTTCAGAATATTACCCATATAGCGTTACATAACTAATCCATTGTTTGATCACCACTAAATCCAACTTGGAAATAACTCCAGTTACTCACAGCTGAAGCGTAAACGTTCCACTTCCCGAACTCATCCTCCCAGTGCCAAACCCACTCAGTGGTGTGGATGAAGGTCGGCTCAAGCAAAGAGTTTGCGGTGGAGAGTCGCCGCACTGCGTTCGACCCACGGGTCATCATGTCAAAATACACTGGGGGGCTGCCGCTACTACTAAAATACAGTAAAAATAGAGAGCCATTAATTCATACAGTTCAATTCATTTTAACACGTTACACCAACACATTGATATTGATCCTCTGCTTTATGTCCCACCCAACAAACCAGTATTATATTGAACTAAAGAAGCAAAATGCCGTAAATATTTTTGTATCGGGATTTCATTTATTCTTTTTAAGAAATGGGATATTGGTATTCTTGTTCTTTCAATATGGTTATTGTAGGGATTAAACAAACGAGATGCAATGTGTTGATTAGTGAGCGATAGGAGTTTGATATCTTGGTCAGAGCCAAGCTAGCTGTTTCCCTCAGTCTCCATACAGGACCTCCATATTTACCCAACTGACATAAGATTGGCCTCAAACTTTTAAATCGATGCAAAACAAATTGAAACATTTTTTTTCTTAAAATGTCAAACTTTTTTTTAAAAAAGGGGGGAAAAATGAGCAGAAATAATTTTTCTTGTCATTGTAAAGTCAACGGAAATTGTTTTTTTTCCGCGTACATCTTGAGATGGTTGAGTTAAAGAATAACATCTTCCCAGGACTACGATGCCACTGAAGGTCAGTAGAGAGCACCTGTATGTGTTTTCAGGGTCACAGTAGTCCTTCTCGATCGTCTCGTTATCAGGCAAGACGGTCCACCCGTCGTCCTCTCTGACCTCCCATCTGTACGGCATCTTGTCGTGGGCTTTAAAGCATCGCTCTGAGAAGACATCGGTCACAAAGACAAAATGAACCATAAAAGAAAAAACGTGACAATCTCACCTCGGTACTCACTGTCATGTATCACTGATTACTCACCGTCTTCATGTATGCAGTGTCCTTTGATGAAGTACATGCATATCTCGGTTTTATCTGAAGGACACGAACAAAAAGTGCACGATTTACTTTTTACATTTTACGGTTCTCTCCAACGACATTTTTAATGAGAGCTTTTGCAGCTGGCGTAGTTCACCTCTGATGGGCCTTTTCCTCGTGCCCGGTCCGCCGGCACTGTTGGCATCGTCGTTGGCCGTGCGCCCTCTAGCAGCGGTTGATGTTTTATTCGGATTTAGTTTTCTGTTCTGACCATCGTCAGAGATGTCACTGGTGGAGGAGTTTAGCGGCCGCTGCTCCCCGCTCAGTCCATCTTCGCTGTACAGATCGAAATTGTCCATGTCAGCGTTGATGTCATCGGGGGAAGAGGTTCGTGGCGACGGTTCATTGTTGCCCTGGTTTCCCCTGTTGCCTCTGTTGCCTCTGTTACCTCTGTTACCTCTGTTACCTTGGTTACCTCTGTTGCCTCTGTTACCTCTGTTGCCTCTGTTGCCTCTGTTGCCCGGGAAGCCACCTCTCCCTCTCCCTCTGTACCACTGCCTTTGTTCTGGATTCCAACCATCGTCGCTGCTCGCATCAGTGGCGGCAGGGGATTCACCAGTGGAGGAGTTGCCCCCTTGTCTGTCGACGTACTTCAAAGCCAATATGTTCGCATAAGCAGACCTCAGGGAGGGAATGAGGTCGTCATGCACGCCTCTCTCCTGCAGGGTCTTGTGTGGCTGTCCAGCATTAAAATCATGGTTCTTGACGCAGCTGCAGTCGCGGTTCATGTACTTCTCGCAGATATGCAGCCTCTTGCAACCATAGCCGTCCTTACACAGGCCGAACTCCCCGCCACCATTGTTGTAATTGTGACATATCTGGGAGAGGGGGGAAAGGTGGTTACAACCAAGCGAAGCAAAGGGCAAGGAAAGGCCCTTTAAGGTGATAAATACAGATGTGTTGATGAAGTCAATAAAACTCCTGCTACTCTAAAGAACTCGTTTTCAAGATCGGTGTACCCTTCCATACGCGGAGGCAACAGATCCAACAGTCTGAATAGGGAAACCTGCTCTGGTTGAAGTCACACTTACGGCAGGCAGGAGCCAGTTGTCGCTCTGCAGCAGCAGCGTGCACAGCTCCGTCCGGCTCAGACTCTCCAGCTCATGCATTCTCAGCAGCGGTATATTGTGATCTGAGTCCAGCTGATGGGAGAATCTGCATCCTGTCCTGTCACCAAAGAGCACAAGACACATAGCACGTACGTGAGTTTGATTTAAAAAATACGGTTGCTTCTCAAAAGAATAAATTCCCGCATGACATTTTGTAAGTGCAACATATTCAATTGAGCTATAAGAGGACATGTTGAACGGATATGAAAGTTTCTTATTCATTCATGTGTCGGTCGAAAAGTCTTACATCTACATAGACATGCTTGAAGCAGCATATTTAAACAAATGAGAGTTATAGTAGCAGCTACACAGAGGTAATGGGCATGTTATTCATGACTGATACAAACCTAATGGTCACCTTCGCACCTGAACTGTGAAACACAGCTAGCAAGATACTACTGCTACTACTAGTAGTATTACTACTACTACAACTACTACTGTAGAATGGGATTCATATGAAATGTACATTAAATATATACACAGTATGTGACAAATGTTTTCAAAATTTGCAGAATTACTTTTTGGGAAATATGCTTATTTTCTTCCTTGCTAATAATTATGAAAAGATAGATTACCGCTCATGTTGGTACGGTATTTAGCATGTAGCTAAAACATACACTGGTCGCCAGGAAAAACTCCCTGAAAAGTTCCACAAAGTCTGGCACTTAAAGCTACTATGAGGAACTTTCATTTAGTGGTGTTTTTGGCGGTCCCTGTGGACGAAAGCGGTAGTGTTTCCGAGCGCCTTAAGAAAAGCGCTCATTTTACTGCAGAGGGTTCTGAAAGTCTGCCCCGCTCAGTCCTGGTTCTGGTTCTACTGTGCCTGCACCACACACACCTGCTGCAGTGATTTTGTCATGGTCACAGACTCCCAATGAGAAGGTAAAGATGTCATATTCAGTATTAATATACTCATTCTGCCTGAGGTGGTTTTTAACAAAAATGTCGGAATATTCCTTAAAAAGCATCACTTTTAACTTTGAAGCTACTTCAAGATTATAAGGGGCCGTCAGACTTCATTGTGTTAATTAGCCTGTAGCTACATGGTGTCCATGCTAGTCTTTAAGACACCTGCAAACCAACAGTCCTTGAACGCATCACGTATCAAGGCCTTAAAAACAAGTCAATAAAAGCACCTAAACAAACCTGTGACAGTCTCGCTCTGCACTGAATAGCTTTATTTACATATAGAAAATGCTGATAATTCGATTTCCAACAATAAAGACCCCTTAACCCCTTGTGTTGTCCTCCCGACTGCCATACACCTGTTGTCCTCTGGGGTCAAAAATGACCCCGTCAGGTTTGACTGTTTATAAAGCATACAGTATAAATTATCACCCACCTCTGTGTTTCAACTCCTTAGTCAACTTTATTCCAAGTCATTACCTGACATATAAAACATGTCAACATTCATTTCTACAACATTTAAAAACAAAAAGAACAACATTTTGAAGTAGTCACAGGCCTCTCCTGCCCAGCACTCTATGACAAGTTCAGCCCGACACTTTACGCGGACATATTTACCTGCTATGAGTGAACGGACAGGATCCGGTGTAGAGGAACTTCTTACACATGTGCAGCGAGGAGCAGAACCCCGGACACTCCGAGCTATATACTCTGCACAGCCTCAGCCTGGTCCTGGCCACCACCTTCGGCTGCCCGAAGGGACAACACAAAGCAAATTTATCTTGATTACCGATGATGTCATTAATAGCATGGCCCGAGCCGAGGTTAAACATCAAATAATCAGTGTCGACTGATCCTTTATTTTCGCAGATGAACTTCAATATTTCCAAATCCATCGTGTTGGGTCTGCTCCTTCCGTGTTTCCTGCCACCACCCAACACAACAAGAGAGACGCTGGTGGGCGGCTGTCGGGTTACAGCGGAGTCGGAAAGCACGGTGTCATTTCTGATGATTGGAAACCGAAACTTAACTTGGGCCTATTTTTAGCAGTGATACTGTAACGCTGCTCTCCTCCGCTTGGGGGCGTCGCCGTGTTATGTCACACACTCCTGTGTTAGTATTATGACATGAAAACATATAATAATGAAAAAACACGAAAAGACATGAAAAAACAATAATCTGATAAATATATATATATATATATATATATTTGCAGGATTACCAGAAATAAATAAAAAAAAGAATGAAGAAAGTCATTTGGAGTCATATTCACATAATTAGTAATCTGGATCACGTGACACATTCTGCCAGAAGATATCAGCTGGTTGCATTTGTTTTACTTGTTGCAGAAGTAAAAAAAATAAAAAAAAGACAACACATTAATAATCTTTATTGAATAATCTGTATTTTCTGTTCCTGACCGGCAGTAATTACTATTCTCTTGTGTTTCTGTCAAATAGCGTTATTACAGTGTAATGTAAATTGTATTACAGTACCACTTTAAAAAAATGTGTTCTGTCAATCCCACCCATCAAACCCAATGTGACCCCCTCCCCGTGGTTCAAACTGAATACATTTTATTCTGATAGTAAAATAATGTATATCATTGCTGATCACTGATATTTGATCAAATGTTTTTTGAAATGTGTCCTTAATGTAGACCATCTTCTGAAAACCATAACCTCATGAAATCACTGTGGAATCTATATTTTACTTATTCATTTTCATTTTAGCACATGAGCTTGTTATTATTAACACATTATGCAAATGTTGGCAGGCTGCATAATATATTAATGTTTAAAAAAAATCCCAATACATTTGAATATTGAGATCAACTTCTGTAGATTTTTGAACCACTGTGATTAAATGTTGTAGTAAATGAATAAATGAAATAACTTGAAACAAGCCAGTGCTGTTATTTACCAGGTCTCATCTTGCAGCATCAGGATGAATGGTCAGTGTCCCTCAGCTTCACTCATCTGCATTTTTAACTCGCCACACATTTCCCATCAGCCTCATTGCTTCCTGTCCCCCTCCCTCTCCCTCAAGACAAAACGCAGTACATGTTGGAAGTGATCTGCTGCCACCACAAACTCTGAAGCTTTAAGAACAAGACCATTCTTTCTCTTTTTTTGTTGTTGTGTGCCGTTAAGCAATCCACATTCCCTGTCAAATGGGACCTGGAGGCTCACGATGGCTCCATGTAAATGAATGGGGCATCTTTGTGTCCAGACTGGGGACCTTTGTCACGTGTCAGATGCTCTGTAGGGCACGAACAACGGATAACAATCTAAATAATATCTCCAGATCTCAACTAAGTCAAACGCCTGTGGGAGATTTGAGAAATAATTTCATCATCATCAAAACACCAAATAAGGGAATAACTTTTGGACGAATAGAGATCGGAGGAGTTCCAGAGACTTGGCCAATCCGTGCCAAAGAGCACTGAAGCTTTTGCTGAAAGCTTGTGGTGGCCTTGACACCTTTGTTTAGCACTATTTACTGATTTGTTGACCACTTGGGGGCAGCGGAACAAGCTGTACTTTAGATGCAACATTGACACAGGCACCTTTTGAACTTTATACCCTTCTGGAGAACTGGACCATGCTGCAGGACCTCAGCTGGTCCCTGGACCTCACTTTGACAACCACCTCATCTAAATACCCTTTTTTTCCTCCGTAAGATCAGTCGAATGTAAAAATAAATGAATAAAAATGTCCCCTTTCATTTTTGTGAACAAGTGGATACATTCTGCCAACATGAAAGAAATGAGTGATGACACATTGAAGCAACTTGACTTGATGCAGCCTATTGATTTCAAGAATCACCATGACAACATACACTCAAAAGTATTCAGCATATTCCCTTTTGTCCTAGATGCTGTAGCCTAATATTCATTTCCTTTTACATACAGTATTCCTTTAGTAGCCTATGCTAGTTTTTTGATTGTAATTATTGGGTGGAAGTCAATGATTGACTTCAACGTTTGTGAATGATAAGCTACATGCATATTATGAAATATGTGTATTAATTAGTAAGAAATAATTAGTTTCATATGGAGTCCCTATGTCCTACATGCTGATATTCCTTCATATCTCCTGTGATGTGTTCCACTTTTGCTGGTGCTTTTTTTGCCCTGCACGCGGTGAAATTAAAGCATGGCGGTCCAGCCCGTTGTGCAACTACATTAACATGAAGTTTTGATTAAAAATAAATTTAAAAAAGAACAAGACTGTCGGTCTGTCAGCGGTGTCTGTTAGTTGTGTGTATGCAGCTGCGACCTGCTGCGGCTTCCTGCTACGGGTTTCCCTTTAAAAGGGGGCAAGGCTCAATGCTGGGAATTCACGTCATTTCGCCGTTTTACACACATCCAGATCAATGAGAGAGAGCGAGGGAGGGAGAGACAGCGAGAGAGAGAAAGAGAGAGCGAGAGAAAGAGGGAGCGAGAGAGGGAGCGAGAGAGCTAGAGGGAAAGAGAGAGAGCGAGAGACTTGCTCTTCCAGGAAGGGATTATTAACCAGCACGCTGCCGACATATGAAGGGAAAACACACGCAGACAAAAGAAGTTTTCACACCGACAGCCGCACTATGGAGCCGGCCAGCAGATAACAGAAAAAGCAGGGTATGTGAAGAAAAGAAGAACTTCTCCCACAACAACAAGCCGAGCAGTCGGGCTGCTGCTGAGTGTGTTTCTACAGGGAAGAGACGGAGATAAAGAAGAGGGCACAACGGAAAAGTGGAAGGAGAAGGAGAGAAGTTGACGGGAGATAATGTCTGAATCCTCCTCCGCTGCGAACAAGGTAACGCGGTCCTCTTTGTTTCCCTTTGACACTTTACATTGTTGGGGTTTTTAACCCCTCGTAGTAAAAACTCACGGCGTAGATTTGAACGGTGTAGCATAACACCTCTTAACAGACGTGTGTAGCACCCACGAGCGCGAGCAGCACAGCGCCATTCACTTGAGGCGCGTTTGTTTTGCTCGTCATCTGTTGCTCGCGGCGGCTCCACGCTTTTTTTAAATTTTTTTTTAATTTTTTTGTTTAGTTCGCCTCCACTCCTGCATGACGGGAAGAAGTCGTGACGGATCGTGACACGCTGAATAAAACGACTGATTTAAACGATTTAAAGTGACGGGAAGCCATTAGGCTGAACACGTTGTTAACCGACACACAACGCGTTTATAAACGCGCGCAGCGACTGACGCGTCAAAGCGTTCAGGAGGCTTCTCGTGCAGTCACAACAATACGGTGGGGATAAAGAGGGGCTGGTGAACCCACTGTTGGAGAGGCCTTTAGGTTGCTACACATTGGGGATACCGTACTGGGATAGGAGTACTGCCATTGACCAACAAAGTACACTGCAACTTGAGTGACCATATATAGTAAACGCATCAAGTGAAAGGTTTCCTCTGTTTTATAGCTATAATTGGATGGTTGGAAAATGAATGGCCAACTTTAGGGTAATAAATTCATTATCATTTATTGAGCCAAACATTTGCTCTATGTGAGGATTTGCTCATTTTCTTTGTCTTTTAAAACAATGATTAAAATCAATATTTTTGGCTTTCGTGGCTGCGGATCAGACTGTGTAAACAATTTAAAGACACTTTGTGGTTGTGGTGCCGTCGTTTGGTGTTTGACATGTCGTAATCTAAATGTTCAACTCATCAATTGGTCCTGAAAATAATCTATAATCGCAGCCCCGGGGAAGAGGAAGATGGTGAGAGATTAGAGTCGGTGAGACAGACCTGCTCCGAGTCCCAGTAGGAACTAGACACAAAAAGAGAAATTAACTATCGCTTAATTGTTTCCGTCCTGCACTTAAGCAAAAGAGGCAAATATTCACTAATTCTGGCTTTTCAAATGTGAGGATTTAAGGGCTGTTGGGCAGAAGAAACAACACAGTTGAAGATGGGCTCTCCGAACTTGTGACATGCATTTTTCTTTTACTATTTTTTTTGACCTTTTGCTGCTAATTATCTGAATTGTTGATTTAATGTTAGTCGCAGACCTGATAGGACCCCGATAGAAGTATTATTTGGGAAGTCAGTGTCGGCCTCAATGCAAGCTGTTCATTGACAGTGTTATATGGCCTTTTGTTGATGGGGGCTGTCTTCTCATTGGGGAAGTCTGATCCGTCTCTGCACGGTTGCAGGAAGACGATCAGCACTCCACAAAGAGAAGTTTTCCACCAGGACTCCCCTTCACCTTAATGCTGTAGCCCAGTTGTGTCACAAATCGCTTTGCCTTTCTTTGCTGCAGTGTCTCCCTTCTCTAGACAACTGAGTTTGTAGAGAGTGGACGGAGAGAGAGAGAGAGAGAGAGAGAGAGAGAGGCCTTTTTGCCTCTTGAGCGGAGGAAATGGAAAGCCTGAAAGATTATTGCTTGGCTTCCAAAGGAAATTCCTGGTGCACACGGCTGGTGCGCAGGTCTCGGAGCGGCTGCTGGGTGGTGACAGCCGGCTGAAACTGGAGGGAGAAGCAGCGAAAGAAATGCTCTTCATTTCCTTAAGAAACTAAAGTGGCTTCATGCTCTGCCCTCATTTGCAGAAATGGAAACCATCAGTCCACAGAATGACCACAGACTGGTAAAACTCCCACCGTAACCTAGATTTGATAGCAGAGCTCACGTGTCAATCGTCTCAGAGTACCCTGAGAGGGATGCAACTAACAACTGTTCTTCATAAAAAGCTTTTGAAGAAAAAAAGCTTTTGAAGAAGAATTGATTATTTGCTTATTCTTATTCAGGGTTCTGAATATAGTGAAAATGCCTGCCACAATGTTTCAGACGTACTTCAATCGCTGGTTGTCTCCGAACGACAAAATCCAAAGAGCTCTGATGTAGAACTATATAAAACAGAGATGCAGCAAATGAAGCCAGGAAATGTTTGGTTTTTTCATTTTTTGGGGAAGGATGAAGAAGATCTGATCTGAATTCACAGAGAAACATTTTGCAGTTGAGGGTTTATGTTCTTCAAAACATCCAAATACTCACTTGAATAGACT